TTCATAGTGGTCATCCGCGTGTGTGTGATAATTGCTCACTTCTGTAGCCACCTATTGGGTCTTAATTGGTGCGGTACTGGCTTGACACTTCGCGATCGACTCACTAATTGCCACAGTTTGTTCGTCAGCGTCGGATGCGGGCTTGATAATTGCAGGGCAATTATGCTCGCTTTCGTCGGAGTTTATGCTGCGCCCAGTCCTTCCCACGTGACTGATTCTGTTGCTCAGGAAACTTCTAAGTACACTGTATGGGAACGCTAAATCGTTGCGCTTTTCGATGGACTGGGGGCCCCGAAAACGTCTTTGTTCTTAAAAAAAGTTAGTTATATAATCTCTTATAAAAAAGCACACGGACTTTTACCCTGATCTTACACAAACCTACAATTTCTTGCATATCTGTTCACTTTTCCTGCTGCGTGAATGACAATCCAGCTTATTTAACTTATTTCTAATGAATTTAGATGCTTTACACAACTTTGCGCAAATGGTTTAAACATGTTGTCAGTTGTATAACTTTAAACAAATATATTGCAACAATGTCGATTTGGCTCCACTAGATCTTGAGGACGCATAATACGAAACGTTTTATACACGTTTTTTTCGCATAGTCTGAAAATATAGTAAGCGAACGTCTTAAATATTTTTAAGAAATATCAGAAACTTCTCTGCTCGGGTGCAGTTTGATGAACGCAAATTATTTTGGCCTCATTAACAAGCTTTTACAGATGACAGTAAAATTAATTATTAAAATCTGTCACCTTATTTCTCTAGGTAATATGGACTTAAATACGACTCTCACAAGGACGCGTGCTCTGAGAAAATGTTTAAATAACATTAAAGTGGCAGCCACGGGCTCACTTGTGACTTCTTATCCTATTAGATAGCTAGAACTCGACATTTAGTTGATAAATTCTCGGCGATAATTACTACAGACGCAATGTTTTTTTAGATTCCAGCGCGCTTCTCCGAATGCAACCAGTAATTATTATCATCTGGTTTATTGGATACGAAACTGATTTCTGTGTGTGTAGTTGAATGGCTTTTTATCATTCACATATTTCTGCTACCTTAAACTTTGCAAAATTTATCTTTTCATTGAAATAAATGACCCTTACAGAAAAAAGTGGCATGACGTGCAATAAATACAAGTCTTAATGCCCACTTCTCAAGCATATTTGACGCAGTAAGTTTGTTATATTGTATCAAAAACTGATAGGTCAACGATAACGTAGATTACCGAATGATAGGCAATGCATTTGAAAGTATGTGGCTCACTATAGATTTATTTAGAAGTATTATTTTGGTTTTCTATTAAGTATCTTTGAGGTGCTTTAAAGTGCTTTTAAAAATATTATTTTATCTTATTTACAAATTACAGCAAACGTATTATCGCGAACGGACACGGCCTCACAAATATTCAAGGAATTTTTTGCCAGTATCAGTGGAATAAGGACATGTCGTCAGTCCTAGGAAAAATAGACATAGCTGTATTTAAGTTTTTCTGAAAAGTGCATAATTTACTGGAAGGCTTTTGTAAAATAAGCAAACCAATCTGACAGTTTTCTGTGTTTACATAAAATGTTATAAACGTGCATTCTGTTGTCTGATGCCAGAAAGCAATACGTTACCATGTACCAAAATTCATTGCTTTCCAAATCAAGGCGAATACAAGTTCAGTGATCTGATCGTGCATAAGCAAAATGCTTAAAACACACGCGTATTTCAACGGAACATATCGGGTCGACCCGATGTGAAATAGCAGTTTGCATTCGTAAGAGGGTTTAGAAGTTCTTCCATAATACATGTCGTAAATACGCGACTTACATAATCGCAATTAGCATCATAAAACATAAAAGCTCAAAATAACTGTAATTCTAAAAATGCGCGGCCAGTTCATATACGTACTCAACGATTTTGTAATTATGTCAGGTAACCTTCATTGATTATCCAATATCGCACAATAAATAAGAAACAACATAAGAGGGCACGTTATATCTTGATCTTTCTTTTCTTTTAGTTTACACTCATTGGGATTTACGTTTCTAGACTTGCGATGAAGCTGGCCACTAAAAAAGTTAAACGTCACTCGTGTAGCAAATACTTAAGGATTCGTATAAAATAATTCATATTGACAAACGGAAAAAAGAATAAGTGCAGCTTCAGACTAACCACGAATTGAAAGGAAGTTTATCATCACCTCCTCTTGCATATTGATCAAAATGGAGAACGATTCGTTTTTACGCATGAAGAAATCCGTATGCGAAAACAAGTTAT